TCTAACCTTCTACCAAGGCACGGTGGCAGGATCCCCTTCGAAATTTTTCGGCCCTCCTGGACAGCCCCGGCTAATCTCGAAAGTCTGCAGAGGTCTCTCGGGCCATCTTGCCACTCTCGCCCCGCTGCTGCCCAGCTACGCGTCGTGGCGGATAGGCGCGGCTCAGTCATGCGAAATGGGCCAGCGGAGTGAGCGAAGCGATTCAATATAAACATAGATATCTTCAACAAGTCAAACATGATCCAGAAAGAAATCGCCCCCGCACTATTCACTTCCTGTGTTTGAACAGAGGGCAGGCCCGACTTCACCCTGGCGAGCCCTGGCCCTTCCAACCCTACACGGCTCTTTTTCCGGCAGCCCGCGCTGCCCCAACCGAAGGGGCCCGGGGCGGCCACCGGCTCCGCGCCTCCGCCGCGCCTCCACGGCAGCGTGGGCCCCGGCAGGCGGGCGCGCGCCGGGGGCCGCGGCGCCGGCGCCGAGGCCCCCCCCCCGCTTGTGCGAGAGCTCGGGGCTGGGTGGGCCCATGCGCCCTCGGGTCATGAAGACATCACGGCGGGCGCTCGTTCGTTTTTGTTTCGTTGTTGTTGCTGCTGCTGTTGTTGAGTTCTCACTTCTAAAGAATAATTATTGTTGATCCCCCCCACCGGTGCATACTGCTTTTTATAGATCGAAGTGTGCCCCTCGACGCTCGTACCCGGTTTTTTGACAAGGACAGTCTTGATGCTCAAACTGGCCCCTGGCCCCCGGGTTACAACAACAACGGCTCCTGCCTGAGACGTCCCTACAATTTTGCCAGGACTTCCGCTCCCGCCCGAGACTTCCTCGCATTTTATTCAGGAATCGCGCTCTCGCTTGGGACTTCCTGACAATTTATTCAGGAATCGCTCTCCCCGGGCTCTGGAGTCGCGCTCTCGCTGGAGACTTGCTTGCAACTTACTGAAAAATGGCCTTGCGTTGGAATTTCATGCAATTCTCCCAAGCGCCGCGCTCCCGACACCCAGGCGCCCAGGAGTCGCGCCCGCTGTGGCCCCATGTGCATGCCCTTCGTGGCCCCGTTGCCGCCATTTGTGTCCCCCTCACTGTCCTACGTGGCCCAGTTGCTACCCTCAGTGGCCCCGTCGTTCCCTTCCGTGGCCCCGCATTATCTGCACTTCGAGGCCCCCGCTCGTTCGCGCTCTTCGTGGCCCCATACGCATTCCCTTCGTGTCCCCGCTGTCGCCTTTCGTGGCCTACTTCGTGTCCTTGTGGCCTTGCTGTCGTTCTCTCTCGCCTTCGCTTTCGCTCGTCGTCGCCGTCGTCGTCGTCGTCGCCGTCGTCTTCGACGTCGTCGTCGTCGTGTGTCGTCGTCGTCGTCGTCGTCGTCGTCGTCGTCGTCGTCGTCGTCGTCGTCGTCGGTCCCGTGTCCGTCCCTCTTGGGGTCGGGTCGACTGTCCGCGGCCGCCCCGCCGATCAGCGCTGCCGCTGGCCAGGCCGACGGTCCGCGGCCGCCCCGCCGCTTGCCGGGGTCCGGCCTGCAGGGAAGAAAGGTATACACCCCAAGATGGGTTCGATCGAAGACGAAGAGGGCGGGTATCGAGGGTTCGGGAAATACGCGTTATTGGACACTCGAGCATATAAGGGCGACGAGTCCTAATATTATTGTTGCTGTTGTTCCTGTTGCTGTTGTCGTTGTCGTTGTCGTTGTTGTTGTTGTTGTTGCTGTTGTTGAACTCTCATATCTGAAGAATAATTATTGTTGATTCCCCCCGTCAGGTGCACATTGTTTTTTCTCGATTGAAGTGCCCTTCCAAGGGCTCGCACCATGCTTTTTCTATCAAGGAAAATCTTGAGGGTCAAACTGTGTCGTTGGCCCCGGGGTCACGACAACAACGGCTCCCGCCTGAGACCTCCTCACAATTTAGCCAGGACCCCCGCTCCCGCCCGAAACTTCCTTGCATTAGATTCGGGAGTATCGCTCTCGCTTGGGACCTCCTTACAATTTATTGAGGACTCGCTCTTCCGGCGCTCTGGAGTCGCGCTCTCGCTGGAAACTTGCTTGCAATTTACTGAAGAATAGCGTCGTTGCGGTGGAAGCTCTTGCAGATTATTCAAGCGCCGCGCTCCTGACACCCAGGCGCCCAGGAGTCGCGCTCAATCACAGATTGCCAAATAATCGGGATCTCGCTGCCCTTCGTGGCCCCGTTGCAACCCTTCGTGGCCCCCTCGCTTTGTTTCGTGGCCTCGTTGCAGCCCTTCGTGGCCCCCTCGCTGCCCTTCGCGGCCCCGTTGCAGCCCTTCGTGGCCCCTCGCTGCCCTTCGTGGCGCCCGTTGTGGTCCCATGCGCATGCCCTTCGTGGCCCCGCTGTCGCCGTTTGTGGCCCCCTCGCTGTCCTACGTGGCCCAGTTGCTACCTTCAGTGGCCCCGTCGTTGCCTTCCGTGGCCCCGCATGATCTGCCCTTCGTGGCCCCCGCTCGTTCGCGCCCGTCGTGGCCCCATGCGCATGCCCTTCGTGGCCCCGTCGTCGCCCTTCGTGGCCCCCTTCCTGCCCTTCGTGGCCCCCTCGCTGCCCTTCGTGGCCCCGTTGCTGCCCTCAGTGGCCCCGTCCTTGCCCTCCGCGGCCCAGTATACGCATGCCCTTCGTGGCCCCCGCTCGTTCGCGCTCTTCGTGGCCCCATACAAATTCCCTTCGTGTCCCCGCTGTCGCCCTTCGTGGCCTACTTCGTGTCCTTGTGGCCCTGCTGTCGTTCTCTCTCGCTCTCGCTTTCGCTCGTCGTCGTCGTCGCCGTCTTCGTCGTCGTCGCCGTCGTCGTCGACGTCGTCGTCGTCGTCGTCGTCGTGGTCGGTCCCCTGTCCGTCCCTCTTGGGGTCGGGTCGACGGTCCGCGGCCGCCCCGCCGATCAGCGCTGCCGCTGGCCAAGCCGACGGTCCGCGGCCGCCCCGCCGCTTGCCGGGGTCCGGCCTGCAGGGAAGAAAAGTATACCCCCCCAAAAAGATTCGATCGAAGACGAAGAGGGCGGGTATTGAGGGTTTGGGAAATAGGCGTTATTGGACACTCGATCATATAAGGGCGAACAGTCTTAAAATGATTGTTGTTATTGTTGTTGTTCTCATTATCGTTGTTGTTGTTGTTTTTTGTTGTGACTGTTGTTGTTGTTGGTGGTGTTTTTTGCTGTTTATCTATTTTCGGCCTCCGGGGCCCTCGCCGGGCCCTGGAACCGTCAGACATCGACTCTTGGCCACGCGCAGAGGGGAGTAGGGGTAGGGGGGAAGGCTTCTTAGAAGGAGGCTGCTTCTTCGTAGGCGCCGGCCTTACATCTGTAGAGAAGGCCGGCGCCTTCTATGAAGCAGGGGTGCGTTCCCCTCTGCGCGCCGCCTGGACTCACAATGAGAAGCCCGCCGCGGGGAATGGGTCGAAGCTCCTGGGGGTCGACGTCATGAATAAATCGTCACGTCGGGGGCCCGGGGAGGGGACGGCCAGCATCAGGCGCACGCGGAGGTTTGGAGGATTGGGAGGGGATGAGGACGGAGGATGAGGAGGGGGAGGAGGAGGGGGAGGAGGAGGGGGAGGAGGAGGGGGAGCAGGAGGAGGAGGAGAGGAGGAGGAGGAGGAGGAGGAGGAGGAGGAGTAGGAGGAGAAGGAGATCGGGATCGGGATCGGGCTCGTGGGGTTCGCGTGTCTGCTTGGCTCGGGCGGCCTGAAGCCTCGAGGCCCAGTTCCGCCTGGAACTCTGAGTGGCGTTTTTGATAAAACGGCGACCTTGCTGGCGACCCCTGCTCTCGGGCAGGGCAAGGAGGAGGAGGAGGAGGAGGAGGAGGAGGAGGAGGAGGGGGAGGTGGGGCAAGGAGGAGGAGGAGGAGGAGGAGGAGGAGGAGGAGGAGGAGGAGGGGAGAAAGGAGAGGACGCATCGGGGTGCACGGGCGTTCGCTCATGCTTTCTGCCACACGGTGCCGCCCACGGGCCAGAGCGACGCAACATGCGCACATCTCGGCACGCAGAAGGTCGCGATCTCAACGGCACTCGCAAATCCGTGGCTCCAACTTCAGAAGTCTGCACCGCTGACGCCGTGAGAGCCGGGATGGCGTTGCAGGATGCGCCACGACGTCCACCCAAGCGTTACGTTGCTCCCAGCGTACTTAAGGACCACATCCCAGAAATAATTTCGAACATCCAGAAAAGTGTCGAAACAGTGTCGAACGAGGCCCGAAATTATTTCCGGTGATGAACGCTAAAAGTAGGTTGGAACATCATAATCCAAGCGGCCTTCGTGCACTTTGCTGCGAGCGCCGAGGCCAGCTGCATCCTGCTGCTGCTGCTGGGTGCGGCGGCTTGCTTCTGCCCGTCTCTGCTATGCGGCAGCGCTTCGGCGCGCCGCGCCAGAGAGAGAGAGAGAGGGACAGCCAGCCGATTGAGACATGTCGGCTCCAGGCGACTTGAGGCAACAGCGGCTCAACATCGATCCCCGAACCCCTACCCCCCGGTCGGGCATGTCCCCCTACAGGCGGATTGTAGACGAAAAATAAACGATAGTCAAAAAATACACCCAAATGGTCAAACATAGTAAAAGATCGTCCCCTGACTTCTGAATACTCCTCTTGAGATGACTTTGAATACTCCTCTTGTAGAGGGACGTGCCCGACTTAACCCTACCCGCAGGTGGCCGCGTGTAGACCCTACCTCCACTCCCACGATTTGTGCAGTGGAGGCCAGTCCACAGGAGACCTTCCACAAGAAACCCAGCCCCGAGACCCCAGGACGTCCGCTGATTTTTGGTGTGGGCACGTCACGCTTTCCGTCGCAAAGCCATCGAAACCCACAAAACCCAGGGCACCCTGGAGGCAAGCAGGGCGTCTCTTGGCATGGGCCCCCACTGTCAGGGTGGCCACCGCACCCATGGCCAAACCGTACGAATCTGTCCGAGCTGCGTCCAACCGTGGCCACGAAGGACCCCCCAAAAAGCCATGGACCGTTGCCTCAGCTCGCCCTCCCCTGAGCGCTGCACGCGCCCTCGGGGGAGCTCTCCTGGAGAAGCTCCTGGTCGCGTTCGACACGCATTGTACCGCTGTGATCACCGGCTCGGGGACGGTGTTGTACAGCGACACCCGCACGGCCTCCGCGCGCCTTTGCAGGCACCGCCACCTGGGAAGTAGGGGGCGGGGGGACGAGGGAAACGCGCGTCGCTGCCGACCGACCGACGGACCCCACGAGGAAGACGCCGGCATGCGGGCCGCCGTGGCCGAACCATGGCTCGCGTGGCTGCCAGCGTGGAGCTCGCGGTCGAGGTGGGCCGAAGGGAGCGAACTATGTGCCAGCAAGGGTGCCAGCGCACCAGCCCGCGTGGGGCTGCAACCGGACTGGAGAGAACATGGCAGACTGGCCAAAGTATGGCGCCCCGGGAGCGGATCTCGACCACACCTCTTCCCCCCCCCGGCACCCGAAGTCGTTATGAAAAGCGCCGCGAACAAAAACACAACCAGAGTTCCAGCCCCCATCCCTAGAGAAACATTTGTTTCACAGGTCGGCGTGGGCCTCCGCGAATGTGTTTATATCCGCCGGCCCCCTTGTGGGGCCACCAGGCTGTAGGCACGGGTTCGCAGTTTCCAATACCAGTTGCAGCTTATAGTTTCCAGTGTTACAGTTCTGCTTCTTGCTGGTTACTGTAACTAGTTGATTGACCGCGCGAGGGGGGGGAGGCCCAAACAGGATTTTCCAGCGTCCCCTGGGCGCGTTGTCTGAATTGCTGGGGGGGCTCGAAATCGACACCCCTCACGCAGATCCGCGGGGTCAGGGTCCAAAAACACATGGGATTTGCCACATTTCTGAAATTCGGTGCCACCCCTCACGCAGATCCGCGGGGTCAGGGTCCAAAAACACATGGGATTTGCCACATTTCTGAAATTCGGTGCCACCCCTCACGCAGATCCGCGGGGTCAGGGTCCAAAAACACATGGGATTTGCCACATTTCTGAAATTCGGTGCCACCCCTCACGCAGATCCGCGGGGTCAGGGTCCAAAAACACAAGGGATTTGCCACATTTCTGAAATTCGGTGCCACCCCTCACGCAGATCCGCGGGGTCAGGGTCCAAAAACACATGGGATTTGCCACATTTCTGAAATTCGGTGCCACCCCTCACGCAGATCCGCGGGGTCAGGGTCCAAAAACACATGAGATTTGCCACATTTCCGAAATTCGGTGCCACCCCTCACGCAGATCCGCGAGTCAGGGTCCAAAAACACAGGGGATTTGCCACATTTCTGAAATTCGGTGCCACCCCTCACACAGATCCGCGGGGTCATGGTCCAAAAACACAAAAGGATTTGCTACATTTCTGAAATTCGGCGCCACCCCTTACGCAGATCCGCGGGGTCAGGGTCCAAAAACACAGGGGATTTGCCACATTTCTGAAATTACAACCCATCACGCACATCCATCGCAAGGCGTGGTAACCCAAACTGCGAGAACTCCCTCGGCCCTTTCATCGCAAGGTGTGGCAACCAAGCCCTTAAACCATACACGTCTTACCAATCGCCAGGTGTGGTAACCCCTCTTGTGATCAGTTGGTTTTGCTGATTGCGACTCGGCTTCGCATGAAGTTTCGATACTGCTTCACGACAGCGCCAAGGCCTCATGACTTAGCTCTTCCATGGCCCATTCTCCGAGAGAGGGGGCCGGCGGCAGGGGGCGAAGCCCTTACGGATAATTTTGCTCGAGCCCCTGAGGCATATTTTGTTTGAGCATGGCCCGACGGTCCAACAACATGATCTTAGGCAAACGTATCATCCTAAACCATGTTAGCCAACGTGGGCCCCAAAACGGTGCTCCTAGAAATCACATGGTCCAATCAATGTCGTGCCATCGGTGCTGTGCTGTGCACTCGATGTGATGCAACCAACTTGGTGCAATACACACATATATATAGTGCACCCAACGTGGTGCAACGTATGTTTTGCAATCCATGTGATGTAATCTATACGTTGCACAAAAATCTGAAAATCTTGGATGTCAAGTCCACGCGTCGCGCAAACATCCCACCCACCCACCCGCAATTTGGATCAACAGGGGTGCGAAAGCGACTGCGATGAATGCGAAGTGCTGGCTGGTGCATCTCTGCGGCCGCGGTTGCCCGCGCATGCTCGCGCGCACAGCAGCCAGCTACTTTTGCGCGACCGACGCGACCGCGGTGGCGCTGACCGCTGGGTACTTCCCAACGCGTCTCGCACGCCGCGCTGACGCGCGGGCAAATCCATGCGAGTCGGTGAATTGGGCGGGCGCGGTATCATGGCAACTCCGACAACTGCAGACGCAATGATGATAGTAGCGATGCTGGTGACGAGGATGGCGATGACAACGGCAAAAGCGATGACGGCGCCAATGCTGATCGCGCCGATGACGATGATGGTGTCCGCACGTCGGTAATACAACTTTGGAGGGACTTCGACATGCGCGCGCGGCCGACACGCTGCGGGTGGCCCACGTGGCATTCGTTGACAAGGATAGTGCCCCCCCAACACGCGCGCAGGGGCGCTCGAATAATGTCAACACGCGCGCGCGAAAGGCCCGCCTGGTCGCATTTGGTGCAGATGTGATAACCCGATGGTTTTCTTCAGAATTCGCAAGAGCGCGCGCAAACTTTTCTTGACATGGAATATTGCGAAACCATTTTTTAACATTTGTTGGTTTCGATCTTAATACCCATACGACACTTATGGTATTGGAAAGATTCCAGCATGCGCGAGCGACGACGCGCGCGTGGACATTGTCCATTTGTTTGCAAAAGGGGTGTGGAGCATGCTTGATGTTTTAAGAACCAGTGTGAGCGCGTCGTATTCTTTGAGGAAGGTGAAGGGGGGGGGGGGGGCGATACAAAAGGTCGCTGGGATGGTGCAAATTCAGATTTAGGAAGAAAGGTTGGGCAGATGCTTTATGTAAATTGTACGATCCCATAGGGGGTCGTCAATTCAAGGGGGTGGGGGTGGTGGGTCCTTTTTTCTTCGTAGAAACTAGCACCTGTGCGGTGCAATCTTCGTGGTGCAATCTATGCGGTGCAATGAATTTCTGTTCGCAAGGCTCTGTCAACTCCACTGCTCGCGCAGTCATCCCACCCGACCATTCACAACTTGGTTTGCAAAACGCATGCGGCGGCGATCGGTGCTTGGCGTTGGCTGGTGCATCTCTGCGGCCTCGCCAGCCTGCGCATGCTCGCGCGCGCACCAGCCAGCTAGTTTGGCGCGACCGACGCGGCCGCGGTGGCGCTGACAGGTGCGCACTTTCCAACGGGCACTTCAATGCGAGTCGGCGACGTGGGCGGGCGCGGTATCATGGCAACGTCAACAACGGTTGGCGCGAGGATGATCTTAGCGATGCTAGAAGGGATGCTGAGAACCACGGCGGCGCGGCCAGTGACGGCGCCGATACTGATCACGCCGACGACGATGACGGCGTCCTCGCGTAGGTGATGCAGGTTTTGGAAGGAGTTCGACATGCGAGCGCGGCCGACGCGCGAAGGTGGCCCGCATGGTATGGTTTGACACGGATGATACCCCCCCCCAGCACGCGCGCGCGGGCGAATGATTTGAAAGAATGTGTTCTACCGCTGCTGGCGCAAAACCGGGGGGGTCACTACCGGTTCGAATCCCTCCCCCCCCCTCCGGAAAACCGGGGGGGGTCACTACCGATTCGAACCCCTCCCCCCCCCCCCGTTCATCATGAAAAGGGGGGGGGGTCACTACCGGTTCGACCCCCCCCCCCCTCGAACTCGAAAACCGGGGGGGGGTCACTACCGGTTCGAACCCCCCCCCCCCCCCCTCGAAAACCGAGGGGGGGTGCGGACAGTGGTGGGGACGGTGGTGGTGGGGACAGTGGTGAGGGGACAGCGGGACAGTGGTGGGGACAGTGGGACAGTGGTGGGGACGGTAGTGGTGGGGACAATGGTGAGGACAATGGTGGGAACAGTGGGGACAGTGGGACAGTGGTGGGGACGGTGGTGGTGGGGACAGTGGTGTGGGAATGTGGTGGAAACAGTAGGACAGTGGAGGGTACAGTGGTGGTGGGGACAGTGGTGAAAGCGGTGGCGAGGACGGCGGTGGGACAATGGGACAGCGGTGCAGTGGGGAGAGTGGTGGGGACAGTGGTGGGAATAGTGGGACAGCTCAGTGGGACAGCGGAGGAGTCAGTGGGACAGTGGGGACATTGGGGATAGTCGGGCAGTGGTTGGGGCCGTGGAGAAAAGTGGGAGAGTGGAACCGTGGTGGGAACAGTGGCGGGGACAATGGGGACAGTGCGACAGTGGTGGTGGCACTGGTGGGGACAGTAGGGGCGGTGGTGGAACCAGTGGGGACAGTGGTGGTGAGGACAGTGGTGCTGGGAACAACAGTGGGGGATGTGGTGAGGACGGTGGTAGGGACCGGGAGTCGTTTGCTGGCGGTGAGAGGGGGGGGTGGGAGGGGTTCGAACCGGTAGTGACCCCCCTCCGGTTTTCCAGGGGGGGGGGGGTTCGAACCGGTAGTGACCCCCCCTCCGGTTTTCGAGGGAGGGGGGGGGGGAGGGGGGGGGGGAGGGGGGGGTTTTTTGCCGGGGGAGGGGGGGGGTCCAGCAGGGGGGGGGATTTTCGGAGGGGGGGGGGGCGGGTTCCGGAGGAAAAGGGCGGCAATTTTCCACAGTAAAGCGGCGGTGGATCACGCTCTCTCAATGATTTCGACATGCAGCGCGAGAGGTCCATTTGACAGAATGTCACGTACATGCTAAACACAACCGATGGATGTCTTCATAATTCGCAAGAGCGCGAAGGCAAGCTTTTTGTGGCAGCTGACGTTGCAAAACCATACTATTGTTAGTATGTGTTCGGGGCACATGGTTTTGACTTCCTCACGGGACCGAAGGTTGTTGATGAAGTTCGGCATGCGCGCGCGACGACGCGAGCGCACTTCGTCACATCTGTTGCAAAGGATTCTTGCGACATCACGCGCGCCAATGGCGTCGACCGGTTTCGATATGCTCGCGCGGGAGGCCCTCTTGATTTAATGGCATGTCAATGTTGAAGAACCGATGGTCTTCTTAAGAATTCACAAGAGCGCGCAAGGTTTTTGTCGAAAACTCTTGTTGTGAAACCATGTGTTCTCATGTGTTTTGGGGCACTCG